ACCCCCCGGAGCGACACCCTTCGCCGCGCCCTCCGCGCGCTACTTACTGAATGCGCCCGCTGCCCGCCCAGGGGCTGCGCCAGCGCATGCGCTGTGGGCCGGGGGCAGCGCGACACCTCTGCGCCTCCTCGTCGCGGGTCCTGGGCACGGAATTTGAGGGGAAAAATAAAACAAGAAAAGTTTAAAATTGCGTTGAAGAGCGTGTCTCCCTGCACCTTCCCCTTCTAAGTCTGGCTTGGCCTCACTGGCTGCTCTAGCGCTTTGCAGGACTGCAGACCCCGAGGGCTAAGGAATGAAGAGCGTACAGCTTCCTCTCCGGCATGCAGTAGTAACCTGTTAGTGGGTGTATTTAAAAATATATCTAATGGACACACAGCAGAACCCTTGGACTTCTGCCAGGGCAGCAGGCCTTGCCCAAGGGGCGGCGTTGCACCAAGGCCAGGCACCAGGCCATGCTGATGCAGGAACAAAAGCTTCAAGAGAGGCCCATGAAGAAAAGTTGGGGAAATGAAGCTCGTAAGTCAGCCCAGTGCACCAAACTAGGGGCAGAATGGGGTTTATGACAATTTCTCCCTTCCTGTTAGCCACTTGGTATTCCACAGAATAAAATCTACCTCAGGGTTTCCCCTAGGGGTATAGCCACCTTTTTCTCACACAGTTAGTTTTCCACCTTCTCAACAGGTACTGCTACTCCTTTGCAGAACGGCCTTACTGGCCTGTGTGTGGTTAGACTCCCAGTTAGAGCACTAATTTGTGATTTGTGTTTAGTCTTCTGGTCTGTTATCTCTACTTCACACTAATGGGAAGGGGTTTTGTGCCCAAAGGGCTGCCTGCTGATTATGTTAGCCGGCCAAATGAAAGATACTGTCCTTATCAAATCTTGTCTTACATGTATGCATACAGAGATGCTTGCATCAGATTGCTTCCTTTTGGTTTCTGATTTCATTACCTATCTATACTTGCAAGTTCTCAGCACCTCAAAGGTATCTTCTAAAATAAGAAATGAGAGTCTTATACATGTTTATGTCAAGGGCTTTAAAATCACTGAAATCATTGCCAGGTGATAACACTGCATGTGTAATGTCCCAGTGAATGACCCTGGAGTTTGTGGATGACTGCAGGTGTCTTCCACAGATAATTTGAGTGGGTCCAGGATGCTGCCACTTTTCACCAAAATGCTTCCAATCTCTACATGCCTAACATGACTAACCTCATATTTTTCTCTGTGAAGCTGCAGTGGTTACACCTGACACGTAAAATGAAAGCAATAGTAATGGACTTTCAGGAGTTTTTAGCAAGTCCCCCATTTTTGAGCTTTGGGGAGAAGGCAGTTGGGAGGAGGCTTTTGTCAGCAAAAGCAATACTTGAATCAAACTGCTGGTGTGTGTAAATTGAGAATACTTTTTTGTGTTTCTGGCATGCTACTTTGCTGCTGGTGCCTTCATCTCTTGCAGTTTGTCAGTGAAAGCCCATTGTCTCCTGATCAGTGTTTGGGAAGTGGGTAACTTGAAGCAGCATGTTGCTGTAGTAGACAGTATGTAACTTTCTCGATATATGGACCTACCAGTCTCAGGAATTTGCATCTTGCAATCAGTTCTTCCAGTAAAAGCTGAAAAAATAGGCAGTACAGAAAGCTGCAGGCAATGATGGACAGCTTGCTGACCACTTCTCATCTCTGCATGGAGCTGCAGTCAAGGAAGTATTTCGTTGCCGAAGTCTTGTATCCAGTCAGGTTGTGAAGGTCCCACACATCTAACTGTATGTGAAGGACCAGAGAAGATCCAGGTTGATTTCAACCTCACCCTCAAGTACATTCTGTTTTCTGTTCTCACATTTCTAAAGATTATTGCCTGACTTCTTCTAGAAACCTTTGGATACTGTCTTAGAATTTTGCGACCAATAATTCCTTAGTTTGCTTCCTTGGTTTTAGTAGTAGATA